ATTTCTAAACTCCCTCTGTGTGAATAAGCAGAAAGTCTATTCCACAGCATAGAAATGCACAGCGAGAAAATGAATTTGTTTTAGAGAACCCCACCCATATGTGCTTTATTTCTCCCATGTTGCTGTATTTCTTGGTCAGCTAAGGCTGTGAAAAGTAAATACTACCATTTACAAAGGTGGAAAAATTAGAACCAAAACAAATCCAGGATATAATATGTCTCTTGGTAGAAAATAAAAAATTAAGTAAACAGAGCAGAGAAAAAAGATCTTTTCCTAAAGGGCTAATAGAATTGCAAAAAATAAAAAATAATAAAACAATACAAAAAGACCAAACGTGAACCAGCATTTTGAAACTTAGCCACTTAAATCCATATTTGACTGGCTTGACTAACAATAGCCCAAATTTCAGATATTTCTCACACCTAAATTTCAGAAACCTTTTGACATGTGCTGCAGGTACTCCAGGAATTAATTTTGTAAATGCTGATGACAGCAGTTGAATTTTAAGAAAATATATATTCAGTAATTTCATTTAATTGTGCAATAATTACACACTGTCATATTTGTGGCTACAAGGACATTGGTTTCATTGAGTTTTTAAAAGGTTTTATATTATTGGTCACACACGACCTAGCAAAGAAAAAAAATTGTGGAAAAAAATTATGTGTTACTCTCCTTTCCTTTATATGTAAAAAAATTCCTCATTTTCTTCATAGAACTGCATATTGAAATTTATCAGTACCTGCATATGATCACTATCTTTATCAACTCCCAAATTGGAATGTTTTTGTCACTCAGATCAAGTTTTAGCTTTGATTACACTTTTTTCTTCTTTCCTTAAAAAACAAAAAAAAAACCCCACTAAAATCAACATACTAAAAACTTAATGTAAACCACACTTTTTATACATGCCCATGTCCATATTCTGAACAGGCATTAGAATATTTATTTTAAAAACACAGGACTTGCTTACTATATTCATAAGTTTCAATGGCTGGATTTTAGAGCAGCCTCTGTAAAATGAAAGTTTCCTGCTTCTGTACATTCTTGCTAGTGAGAAAATGCAATTTCACTACATACGGCTAAACAAAACCTTCTTTTACTGCTTAAGAAAAATATATTCTCAAGTGTTTTTTACTGGATTTCAAAATAGAATAAAAGATAAACTTTTAGATTTTACTCAGAGCCATGTAGGTGGCATTTTTTTTTCAATCAGTTATCATCCTGTCAGTACCATGAATATTAGTCTGGACTTTAAAGAAAGATAGCTGTCCCAGTAAACTTAACAATGATTTACACCGAAGGACAATGAAAACCTGCTCTTTCCCTCCCCCACCTATGAGTGCCACCATGCTTCATTTCTGCATTATCTTCTGGTAACCATCTCCAGAATATTCTTAAAAGCTGCTAACATGATACATTAGAATTCAGGCATGTGACAGATACAAAATTAAAGTTGACCTTCTCTGTCAGAAAAAATAAACAGTAACCATTAGCAGCTTTGTACCTCTGCATTTAACTCCCTATTTTCTGCCTCCCTAGTTTGGGTCCATTAACTGACTGGTGCAAAAAAGATCCCCAGCAACACTGACTCCCTGTGGATGTACTACAATCTCTGGATACTAAAATTGACTATAACCTTTCCTCCACAACATAATTTTACATTTGAAATAATTCAATCTTGATTTGGTCACACAACAATATTGTAGTCAAGAGTTGCCAAAATTCTGTAAAAACTTCTTATGTTTGCACATCTGTCAACAACCTATGGTTTGCACTGGGAGCCATTAGGAATTCATACTAACAGTTGTATTTTCATGATTTTATTAGCCACTCCAATGTTTTTTTTTTGCTCAGCCTCATCAGTTATAGTAAGAACACCCTTTAATTCACATGAAAATATATTTTAAATATTATTTTATGTGGAAAGCATTCATTAAAGTCACTAGAATTCCAAAAGTTATTTTATGTTGTTGAATAGAGCAGAAAGGAAATTTCAGATCTGCAAAACTTTTAAAATTTCAGGAACCTTCAGAGTAAATAAGCTAAATGATTGTCATAATATATTTGATGGAACTAAACACAGGATTCCAGCAGCCGATCACATCAAAGCAGAATTAAATGGAGAATTTATACAAGTAGAAAAGTTGTTTTGAAAACACTGGTGCTGCAATTCTGTCATGAACTTTGAAAAACAGGTAGAGTAAGGCAGCACTATTGTGTTGATTTTGTGTATTTTCCAAGCACTGGAGTATGATTTCAGGAGCGACCATAAAAGCACATCCTGAACCCTGCTAGGTCTTGATGGCAAAGTAAATGTATTCCCACCTCCATTTTCTTTCAACAGCTATGGTATTTTTCTCTTGCTGTCTGCTGGGATTTCCCCCATACATTTTTTTTGTGTTTTCTCATGTCCCATCTCTCTTTGAAAGAGAGAAACCCACCACACTAACTGTTAGATACAGTCTGTATTAAATTGGTGGTGGGACAGGGCTTATCATCTTTCCTAAAACTAAAATATATATACCCAAAAATCAAATATTCTCTTCTCCTTTGACCTAAGAAAAGAGAAATTTTATAATTCTCATTCCATCCCTGCTGTGGTGCATGCCATTTCTCTTTACATTTTGATATTTTCCTGTAAAATGCCTGTAAATATTTATTCTCTGCAGTGACAATATTTAAAACTTTCTTCTGCTTTTCAATGCACACATAAATTTAAAAAAAGTAAACTCTAACACACCCTTTTTATTAATTGACGCAGGTTGCTTTGACTTTATATAAAAGATATCATACAAAGAACATTTGAAAGTTTTCAAAACACCCACAATTTCAGTGTGAAAAATGTCACTGTACTGTCCCAAGATTGTAATCATCCTGGTATCCTACAGGATGAGCTTCTAGCTACTTCTTAGCATCTCAGTTTGTAATGCTTTATCTGACTGATTAGATACCAAACCACCTTCAGAAGGCTGGTACAGAACAGATGTAGCAAAAAAAATAATTTGTTTCTGCCAAAATCCTCATAAGCTCAAGGGCCGTTTAACTTAGCTCAGTCACTTAGTTTATTTTGCATTAGAGGAACTTCTCATTTAATTTACCAGTCTATAATAGGTAACTTTTTCAATATGAAGCTAAAGGTCACTATTATATGTAAGGAAAATTAAGCCAATGTTCTTGGTTGCCTTACAGTTCTCCTAGTTCAACTACTCCAATAAATGAACATGTACAACAAGCCGAAGGGCTTTTTATTACAAATTTAATTCATTTCTCTAGACAACTGTGAAATTTGCCATTGACATTAGTCATTACCCCAAGGCGAACTAAAAGATGATCTCAGTTAATAAATGATCCTTAACAAGGAACGCTCCTATCTTCTGTGATATTGGCACAGGCACATTTTATTAATGCAGGACTAGCTTCCTGCCAGAACACTAGCATTCATGACTATTTGGTGTGCTTGTTTCCTCTTCCTGCTCCTGATATTAATAATTATGCAACGGGATAATTAGCAACACAAAGAGACAGTACTATGTGCTTGCAGCTAGATTTTCAGCACGTTAACCTTCTGGGAAATAAAGAACAGAAGCAAAGAGTCTAGCCAAATAACCAATGCAGGTTGATTTCACAGTGTGTAAAAGGCTAATTATCTGTGAAAAGTCTGACCTCAAGTAACAAAATTACACAAATGTGCAGGCATTTTATCTTAAATAAAACTCAGATGCACTAGTTCATAATGTGAGGAGTCATGGTTAATAACTGTCTTCCAGAACTATTTATCTCTATATATGTTTATAAAAATAAAAATAAATCCAAGAGCAAAATAACAGTATCCTATAAAATGTTAACCAGTTACTCAAATAACTGCAAAAGTAGGGTAAAATAGACTCCTGCCATCCCTCAACCATTGCAATGGTAAAAAAAATAAAAATAAAATAAAATAAAAAAAAAACCCCAATATATGACAGAAGTAGGTTAAGTGCATTTTGTTTACTGGAGACAGGCTACAATAAAAAGCAGAAAATATTACTACTTCTTTACAGATACCATGTGTAATTCATTCTGATATAAGAATATTTATCCACTAGCAGTAATAACAAACCACAATTTTTGTCATGAAAAAAATAAATTGTATTTGCAAAAAGCAAACACATTACAGAGTGTGTAAAAATGCAATATTCCCATTTTCTAGTCAGAGTTCCAATTTATTGAAGTAACAGAGCAGAAAATGCACTGACAGCTGTTACATTTTATTGCGAATTAGTATATACCTTTTATATCCAGTGAGCAAATGCATGATACATTGTATTCCAGTAATTGCCACTGGCTTTCCAAATGGAAACTGAATGATCTTAGTGCAATTACACTCAGGAGAGTAAGTGTAACAAGCTACAGTTCTACATTATAGCTCTTTAACAATACCAAGAATTTTACTCTGTTTAAAAAAAATAAAATAAAAAGGTCAACTGTATATATAAAAAAAGAAATATATACTTATCCATCTACAGATGATAAAATGAGATTTTCTGCTATTCTGGCTTAGATTTGGTTACATATAATACAGACCATATGTTTTAAAAAGTTTGTAAGAATGATACTAAAGTTTTCTACTAGTTTAGACATTTGTTCAGCATCAATAGTTTGGGGGGGGGGGGGGGAAGGGGGGAATGGACAGAATTACTGGAAACTTCGAACACATAAAATCAAAACTTCTCATTTCACATAGGAAATAAATGATTGTTATTCCTAGACTACACCCTAATTTTCCAGCATCCTTGCATAGAAAATAAAACATTTGCCTTGAAATATTTAACACATTCAGGTATTCAGATGTAACATTCAAAATGTTTATTACCGTAGGCTTTTTTCCCTCCCCCAGTTATCACCTGAGATAGTAACCCTCCTAAGATAGCCCATGTGCTGAGCAGTTAATATTTCAAATGCATTAAAGGAAGTGAGGGCATGAGGGAAAAACATTTTATTTTTATTTTTTTACTAACCTTCATAACATATTTTAAACCATTTCGTTGGGCAACCAGTCTGGTGACAGCCTCTGCACCTTCAAGCTGGAGCTGGAGCGCTCAGGAAAGCCGGCAGTCTCCTCCCCTCTAGTGGCTACCAGCTCTCTTTGCAGCAAACCGGGGAAGAGAAAGGCCTTTAGAGGACCACCTCAGGGCCGTTTGTGTCATTTTTCTAAGCTTACAAGGAGACAAAAAAAAAAAAAAAAAAAAAAAGAAAGAACACAACAACCAAAAAGCCCCCCGCCACAAAAATCCCCCACAAGCCCACAACCAAATAGAGCAGAGCAGGCAGTCTATCACTGCAGCAAATAAAATTTATCAGTCATTTAAAACAATATGTTAGTAGTGACTATGACTTAATCAACACCAACCTGCTGACATAGATTTGCAATTTGAGCAGGTTATTAGTGATCGAATTAGCAACATGTCACAACTTGTATCAGATTTATTAAAGGAAGCTGACTAATGCAACAGAGCTATAAACAACATGCATGGAGACATTTTTCAGGCATGCTGACTACTGTTGTACAGTCAATGGAAAAGCAGAATGAGAAACAATCTCTCTGATTTTGCCTTTTTTTTTTTTTTTTTTTTTTTTTTTTTTTTTTTTTTTTTTTTTTTTTTTTTTTTTTTTTCTGCAGTTGTTTATAGACTATTGCATACTGGTGTTACTGTGAAGTATGGGGATCTATGTCAAAAACTTTTACCTCGGGAGGGGTCAGAACCTATGCAAAAAATATTCACTCTTGTTACATCTACTAAAAGAACTCAATGGAAGGGCTTGGCACAGGGAAGCAATGAGAAAATACAGGATCCTGGGACATGCTGTGATCTCAGCAATAGAGTAGCCTAATCACTGCCAGTTTTTTGTCTTTTTTTTTTACTTTGCAGTTTTTGTGATGAAGGTTTTTAAGAGGGCATGATGAATACTAAAAGTGAGGTAACATGGTTTTCTGCAGTTTACCCATATGTCTTCCTAAGCATGTGGGGTAGCACAGGAGAAAGCACAGCTACTCTATATAGTCCATAAGTAGCCAGCACTTGCAGTACTTTTGCAGACATGGACTAACATTGAACCAAATGTATAAGGCAGTTTATATAGTGCACGGATTTAAAATTTTTTCCTTTTTCAAAATTTGTTTCTGAACAGGGCTTGCTCCAAATCCCACTCTTTGCTCATGGATCAGGCATATGCATGTCCATCAATATAAAACTAAGACCTTTCACAGTTCTAGAAAAAAAAAAAATATTTCAGAGGAGCACTGTAAACACAGTTAAGCAAGGTCTGTACAGATTAGCTTTGATAGTGTATCCAAGTCCAAGGGTAACCTGACCAGGTTTTCATGTGCACCCACTTTTAATTCTGAAACAATTAGTTACAGCCTAACTAGAGGCTTGAGAGCATTTTCATGAGAAACAAGAATTTAACATAAATCCACATAACCAAGGAAATTCAGAATTGAAGCTGTCAATTCTTAGGCCCAATAGAACACATAAAGGGGCTTGTTAATGCTGAACTAATTGGCATTCTTGGCTTGACAGTCTCAGCAGAGAGACCAAGGAGTGAATAAGCATGGAGACTAAACTACCCTCTCACTCACAGGTGGTCCCTCTAGGTTAAGACTAAAGCACATTTGGAGATGAAGAAATGAAGAGAAAAATGTACACCAAATGTACTGTTTAATTTGCGGACAAGAAACTTTAGCCTGCACTGAAAGCAATGCAGCCAGTTCTTAACCAGTGTCTACTCTTGCTGCCTCAATTTAGACTGTAAATAAGCAAAAGTTTTGATTTCCTTTTAACAATTATGTTTCATAATTAGGGGGAGAGGCTGATAAACTCCAGTCATCTCCATCACCATGCTGACGTCTGTGAAAATATATTAAAAATCTTTACCCGTAAAACTGTTCTCTACAGACTAACCAGTATAATCACATTATTTTCAGACATTCACTTATGAAAAGGACAACCTTTACCTCCTTTAGGTTATTTAATACAGGCCAGGGACTAAATGGACCTGCAGTCTTAGCCCCTCAATACATACAACAGCTTACTCTCCAGATCCCATGTAAAAGTATTTCTCTGGCATTCATTGGGAGGTAAGGATATGGGCTTACATCATATTTGAGCCCCTATTTAGAGGTATGTCTGTAGTACTCAATAAGCTTCAAAGTGTTACTTGTGAAATGTTATATCTGTATGGGAGCAGTAAGGAAGCAATAAGGAGCAACATTATTTTTGCTTCATATAGATTAGTGCTGAGCAGTTCTCCACAAAGCTGTGTAAAAACTCACCTATCTTTCCCACTGAAAATGTTGGATTAAAAAAGAGAGATATTGAAAATAAGATGCATAATATTAATACTGAGGGTAATTAATCACTGGAGTAAATTACTGAGGGGCATAGTTGATTCCCTTTCAGTGGGAGTCCTTAAATCAATACTGGAGAGCTTTTTAAAAGGTACATTCTAGCTAAGGTGTAAGTTATAAGGTTCAATGCAGAAATTACAAGAAGTTCAATAACTTGTAGGAGGTAAAAACCAAAATATTGTCATGCATATTTTTGAACTTAAAATGTATTAGTTTATTAGTTTTAGCCCATATGAGAAAAAAAAAGGAAAAATATATGTATTAAAAAAAAAAGAAAAGGTAAAAAGTTGGTAAATAGTGACCAATCTTAACAAAAGATCTCTGCAGTTGATGCAATATCAATGGAAATTAATAAGGAGATCTTGATCCTATGTATTTTAAAAGTAACTATTTAAAAATAACACATTTATAACACTCCAGATTTTTTCACTTGCCAGATTTTCCTGCCTTGGCTAAAGTACTCTCAGTGCAGTAGTGGAAAGTGGTGACAGAACAGCCACAGTTCCTGCATCCTTCTTGGGACTGTTCATCCCCAGTGCTGTTTTGAGCAACCTCAGGACTGCCCTAAGTTCTTCTAGCTGGCAAATGTGTTCCATAGCTGTTGTACTGGCTCATGAATAGTCAGGCCAAAACAAGACCCATAGACCTCTGTACTCATTCCTCTGGCAGCCCCCAAAGACTGTTTCCCAAAAAAGCCTGGAGAGACAGAGGAAAAGTAGAAGGAGAAGTAGCAAAGAGTCACTGCGATCAGAATCACATATCCTTATTGCAGCTAAAATAATTTATCTAAAATAAATTCTTTAATTCTTACTAGCAATGGACTTTAAAAAAGGACAAAGATAGGATCTTCTTACAGGACAGAATACTTCTTACAAATGAGTAAATTTTAAAAAAGTTATTTCACTGTGACACTCAGAGACATCAACACAATTTCTCTTGTGGAAAGTAGACTAAAACCTTTGTAATTCTTCCTTTTCAGAAAACCTAAGCTACTAAAAACAGGAGAATAAAAGCAAATCTAATTTCCTGAGACAATCCACCAATTTTAATGGTATTATTTTAGAATTATGATCATAATTTTCAAAGCTTTTCTGGTCTTTTAGTGAGAAATCTTCAAAAAACAATAAACAAACTGAATCCTCCAGTATTAAAAATTAAGTCACAGGTTTGGCCACCACCATCACTTACCTTTTCCATGTTTGTTTAATATATAAAATGATGTTCAGATCTCCACCATATTCGCTGTACATGTCAGCCTTAATGATTTTTCCCAATGCTATTTACCCTCTGCAAAAACATTTGAAGTAGAATTTCTGATAAAATTTGAAAATTTGGTAGCAATTTATTAATCTAAACAAACTGCATGGTCTAGTTATCAGCTATTCAGGAAAATCTAAATGCTGAGCAGCTTGTTCACTATTGTTTTGTTTTCCTGAAAAACTGAGGAAATCTTCTAATAAAGGAAGAGTTATTAGAGACAGATCATAAATGGTTCAAAATCAATCCATGCACTGCTTTATTCTTGGGGCCACTTAAATTCCGCAACCTACATATATAGTTTTACAGACTCAAAATGTAAACTTTCTAATTCCAGATTTTCTGGTTTACAATTTCTGACTGTTATGTATGTGAGTGCAACACACAACTTTCAACACTTACACCCTGCAAATAACCATTTTATTTCAAGACTTGAAATTTTTTCCCCTGTAGACAAAATAATAATGTAGAAATACATGCTAAATGTTGCTCACTACCGCTTCTTTGTTCTGCACATCAAACTAAATTCTACTTCCACAGTCTGTAGGAGATAAAGGGCTTAATAATTTCAGGAATACCTTGGCTGATGCCCACTCATTTCAGCTGAAAGCACCGCATGGGATCTGATGAAAGAAATGTAGCCTGGTAACTATTGGAACCTTGTTATCCAACTTTAACAGATATACATCATATCCCACCTGATGCTTTTCTTGGGACTTCCCTCATTCCTCTCTGCTTACAATAACTTGGAGTATTCCACAGTTACTAAGAAATAGTGCAAATGGGGAGTAAAAAATTTAGTGGAAAAAACTGTTATAGTGAACTTTAGGATGAAATCAGTCTGAGATCGTGTTCTTGTATCATCTGGTATGGCTGGAGATAATAATGGTCTTTTCATATTCAGCCACCAATCAGAGCAGCAACAGAATATGATGACATTAAAACCAAAAAGTAAATTATTAATAACATGAAGAAGTTATGTATTTTAATTGATTTTAAATACACCAGCTATTAAATCTGAGGAACTGTCTGTCTGAGAAGATAAGGAGCCAAATAGATTGCTTCCTTTAGTGCTCACTGAAATGTCTTTCTAGATACGAGTCTTACTCTTCAGAAGACCAACTGGTCAACAGGCAATGCACACACAGCAGCAGCAGCAGCAGCAACAGAAAAGATCAAATAATTTTTCAGCTACTCAGTAAGCCATATTATAAACCAGCAGAAATGGAGACTGCTTACTGATACTGTATTTGCCTGAGCAGAGACGTGAGGATGTTCTGCATTTTTAACAATACACACAAAGAAATGGATCAAGTTGTAGTTATTGCTCACGGGAAAAAGAGGAACATATTTAAGATTTTTCTGCAGATGAATGCAGAGGAGGCCAAGAAAAATATAATATAGCCCTACAGATGCATAGTAAGTAATTCTTTTTCCCATATTGTGGTATCATA